AGGAGACATGCTGAGATTTTTTTAAACTGGTTCAGGACTCAATTGGTAGAAGCTCTTTTCCTTCTTTAGGGGCCTTAATGTACTTCAGTATAGATGCAGAGCCTGGGTAACATCTGAGTTTAAGCTTTACATGCCATAATAAGAGATTGTATTTTTGCAGGTCTTAAATTGTTGATTTTAGTAAAGTTGAGCAGAGATATTCTGTTTTCAGCTTCTACAAATCTTTATGAGGAGTTAAACTACTAGACGATCATCAGTAGACCTATTGGTACCAAAGAAACCAACATAGCTTCTTGCCAATACTAGCTAAAGAAACTTCCCAAACAAACAGCTGTATTAAAATGTGAAAGAATAAATGCTGTTGTTCATCTAGCTGTTAAGTTAAAAATGCCAATTTTTATCGGATTGGCGAAAATTATCTGCAGCAGCTTTTCAGAGTTGTCTTACGCACATCAGAGTACTGCCTCAACCAAGTGCATGATACTTTGTGTGCTTTCAATCTCAGGTATTTGATGCTGGTGACTACTTTGGGATAATGCAAGTAGAAGAGGTGGATGAAGAAGAAGGTGATGAAGAAATGGAAGAATTAAAAAAGAAACCAAATCCTGGAAATGAACCTTGTTTCAAAGTTATCATAACAAATGAGAATGGGCTTCAAGCGTCCAATCCCAATAGGTGAGTAGTGATTTCAGAACTAGTGTTCAGTCTTTGAGTGGTCTTAAACCGTAAAATGGTACCGACAGTTTGTTTTAAAACTTGATTTCTGAAAAGGATCAAACCTCTTTTCTTAGTTTAAAGCATAGCTGCCCATTTGAGGAAAAATGCATACTATGAGACATAGCTTGCAAAGGATACTAGGAGTGCGAGTGTCTTAACGTTGTTCCCTTTAAACCATGCAGGAAGATGCTTAGAAATCAGTTTTAGTAAACTGAGGGAGAAAATACAGAAAAGACAACCTTGAAATTAGTTCTGCAGAAATAAAACAAGCTTTGTATCTGTAAGACTGTC